CTATCTCAGCTGCCGATTCAAAAACGCCATATATCAGCACATTTTCAATACATCTTGAAGTTAGATAGGGCATTTTTGAGTCGAATTCTGAAATAGGGCGACCTTCAATCAAATTCTGAGATAGTGTGTTTTTCAATAAAATTTTTAAATAGGGCGTTCTTGAAAAGTTTTTTGAGATAGAGCGTTTTCGAACTGGCTGTCGAGATAGGGCGATCTTCCACTCAGCAGTCGATATATTTTCATACAAAATTAAGGAAAACAATTTTTCACAATAATTGTTAATATTATATTAGTACAAAGTGTATACTACCTTTTAACTCTGTATAAAATATTCTTTTTTATATTCCGATATAGTACTCGGATTATTTATTGTCAACTAATGTAATAAATAACATACCAAAATGCGAAACAAAGGCTTGTCTTATTTCCTCTGCCCTTGTGTTAAAGATTCCAGATATGTTGGGTTCGTCTTCTGGCCACTGTCGACTTTGGTCTTCAATTTGCTGTGCCGCAATCCACCTTTCATTGATTTCATCATTTTCCTCATTCAGGAAGTTGTGCAAAACACAACATGCTTTGATAATAGCTTTCGCGTTGACCATGTGGTTGTCCAGGCCTTTGCCAACCCGCCTAAACCTTGCCTTTAAATGGCCGAAAGCATTTTCGACAACTCTTCGGCACTTAGACAGGGCAAAGTTAAATTTTTTTTTATTCAACGGTTGGTTAACGCAAAAAGGATACGGCTTCATCAAATGTACATCTAGTTTGAAGGCAGAGTCGCCTAGCAAAATAACTGGAACATTAACAGATGATATTTGCCTAGTCATTTCTTTGAACAAGCTGCATTGTTGGAACTGCCGTTTTAATGACGAACTTTCAAAGATTGCTGAATCATTACAACGGCCTGGACTACCAACATTGATGTAAATGAAACGACACCTATAAAATAATAAAAGAAAATTATATGTATGTTAAAAAGTTCAAAAATAGCTTTATGTAAAAACTTGCCTTGCATCCACCAAAGCCAAAAGGACCATAGAGTACCAGCCTTTATAGTTGTGGTAATCAACTGCATCTTCTGCTGGTGGATGAACTTCTATGTGGCACCCATCTGAAACCTTCATGTCAAAGCAAATCCATTCTAAAAAATACAATTTCTTACCAATAGCTCCTAACACTTGAGGGAAACCCAGTGATTCAAAACCATTTAAATACTCCCTTAATTGAATTTCGTTCATTGGGAATTTATTCAAATATAACGGCCACAAACATCTCCACAATTCATGGCAGAACTCAATCAAAATGGTGCAGACAGTGCTTTTACCGATTCCAAACATATTTGCAATTGTGCGGTATTCTGCCGAAGAGCCAAGGGCATACAAAGCAATTGCAACTCGTTTTTCTAAAGTAATTGCATTGCGATAGTTGGTGTTTTTATTCTCCAGACCTTTTAACATATCGCACAATTTCTTAAAAGACTTACGCTTCATCCGAAAATTACTTTTAAAAAATGCATCGGAATTCATCTGGCAATCGACTTCCCAGAACTTGTGGCCACGAATCTATATTATGTACTTATTTTAATTAAACCAAGGCAATTATTATACAAATGTTATACTTGCCTTTGTCCAAACTGACCTTGTTGCATTTGATGCACATGCACTAACTAATTTGTGCATTGTTTGAGCAAGAAACAAACGTCTCATTGCCTGGCGCCTAAAATCAAATAATTCCTCCATCATTTCCATTGAATGGAGAATATTTAAGAAAAAGAAGATAACTTTTATTACTATTAAACGCATATTTAACCGTTTACGGGATTTAAAAAAATTTAAATAGACAATATGCAATATGTCAGAAACAGCTGTTGCATGAATCTACAACAGCAGTGTGAACGGCGAGGATTAATAAAAAGATTTATTTTGGTTTGAGGAGATCAACTTTTGGTCTGAACTTAGTATAACGTCTAAAAGTTCTTAACATTAAAAAAAGTAAGTATGCTTAACCCTGGCATTCAGTAAGCGGTCTCTAGTCACTAATAGTGACTTTTGGTGGTGAACTTGGATTTTGAGACTATTTGGTATTCAGTACGCTGTCTCACGTCTCTAGTCTCAAAAATAAGTCACTAATTTGTCAGCTGGATAAGAGCCGGTCACAAAAATAGAAGTATGGAGAAAAAGCTTATTT